GTTGTAAGTCCTCTATTCTATTGGAGTATTTGTTTGCTCCTTTGCAGTTTTGCCTCCAGCTGCGCCACACCACTCCTTGTTCAACAGTAGATACTAGCAACCTATGCATAATAGGGCAGCCTTGAACGGAGTGGTAGGGACAGCGCACAAAATTCGCAATGCCCGCGAGGTGCGAGAGCGATATGTAGTTGTTATTGGCAACGACTAGGGAGCTTGGCAGAGTATGTTCTTCACGATGGTCGACGTCTGGGACCCAATGCCACTGAAGATCATTTTCCGATATAGTAACGAACGATAAGTAAGCGCCAGTACGCGCCAGTGGTCCCTGCGGTACTACGTTACCAGTAGGTACTAGGACGGTCAATCATTACAGTTCCCGCTTCATTTAAGTATTTCTAGTCTCTCCATTGTGCAGTGCCATAAGGAGATGCTATTCTCTGCAAGTCAATATACAGGTTATGTCATCACCCAGTAAGCTGGTGTCATGGTCAGTACGGAACTCTCGAACTTCAACTATCATGCGCCATTAGCAGCTCGGAAGGCTCAAACCTCCTCGACGGGAGAAGCACGTCGCTGGGACAATAACCTGCTTCTGGTATCCTGAATCTATTCTACTTGCGTGGAACAGTTCACATGCAGGTTTGGGCGCAAATTGGGAATGATGTAGCCTTCTTTCCTGGTCATGTTGAGGGACGTGGTGCAGAATCAGAAAGATGTGTCTCCTCATAGCGACTTTTCAAGGAAAAGGGAATAAAATGACACTGTATGCTACGAAACATCGATGATGGACCTGAGTTAACGCAGTCATATCTACCACAACGGATTGTCGATACCTCACTCCCGTTCAGGCACTCTTGCTCAGCCATGTGTAAATTATATCGGTATGCTCTCCGACTCATCCTTCATCTGAGTAGATGGCTGCGATCTGTATATGGTCTGCGATGGTGTCTTCAGCGACATCTTCATGACGGTACAACCATCTGCGTGAATATGGATGCGCATTATCGCTTATTACTAACCACTTTCTTTTCCAAAAGCGCAACTGAGGTCTCAGTTGGTTATAGTTGCGCAGGGAGTCCCAGTCCCAAAGACTAGATCAACCACCTCCATGATGCCGCGTATCAGCCCCGCCCTTGAGATAATGATGGGAAAGAACCAGATTCAATGCATTGAGAATCACACACCACAACGTACACTGCACTTTGATCGCAAAAATACTTCTGGGTTTACTGCGGCTGAGATCCAATCCCGGCTGGCCTCCATACTTGCATGCACCGCGTCCGTGTATATCACCGTGACTTCCCTCTCCAGCCGGAGCCCAGCGCGCCAGATCCACCAATACCAAAGCCGGCAAACGCTCCGCCAGGCCCAGGCGCGCCCGCAGCAGGCAGCCCTGGCCCTTCGCCCGGTCCACTCATCGGGCTGTTCTTGCTGCCGTGGAACGACGACCGGAAGGACGTCTGCGGGAGCGCTTGAATCGCGAGGAACTTGTTCGGCGTCGGACGATCGTCGTTGTTGTACTACCCGCCAAGAATTCCGTCAACAGGAGCAGACACACCCCATTGGACAGATACTCACCTGGAACTCGAGCCCGATCCCATCCGCCTCGGAGACGTCCAGTAGCTTCACCATCTTGCGCCCGATACCGTTGATCTTCTCCACGTCCTCCTTCGACCGTGTCCAGAGCTGAATCCGGTCCACTTTGCTCCGCAGGCTGACCACCGCGCCGCAGATCTCGTCGCCCTCGTCTAGGTCCTCACCGACGAGCGCCATCGCCAGCCAGCTCCAGCACCGGTCCAGCAGCGCCGCGTTGTTCTTCATCGTCAGCACCCACTTGCCCCCCTCCGCGTTCGCGGGGTCCTCCCACATCGGCTTGATGCCCGACTTGAACAGGTGATAGTTCGAGTTCCGCTCCAGCCGCGACGGCGGCTTCAGCCAGTTGAAGTACCGGCAGAACGACTCCACCGTCTCAAACTCACCGATCACCGTCAGGCCCGCTTCGTACTCGTCCGTGTCAGGCACGGCAAAGTGCGTCGCGCTCTGCGGCGGGTCCGCCCCCGCGCTGTTGACCGATCGTGCCGGATGCGCAGAGGCGGGCGTGAAGGGGACGTTGGACTTTGTGTCGTGATATAGTGTCCTGCGCGCGTCGTAAGAGTGCTCAGTACACGCGAGTCCTCGACACGGGTAATACGCACCACTTGTTCTCCAGCGGGTGCTCTGGAGCCTTGATGCGCAACCCAGGCGTCTTGGGGTCCTCTATCGTCTCCGCCTCGGGAGGCTTTGCCGTCCCGTCGACGCTGAGCGTCCTCGCCTTTGCGAGCCGGGCTGTGATGGCGTCGAGGCTGGGAATGTTCTTGTAGCCGACGGGCATCTTCTGCTTCTTCGGCGCCGCCGCCGCTGCCGCCTCTGTCTCCTCGTTCAGCTTGTCTAGCGTGTCGCTCGTGAGCTGCTCGCCGCCGCCTGCATCGCTGGGCGCGGGTGTACTGGAGGAACTACCCGGAGGCGACGTCGAGAGTGTCGCGGGCGAGACGGAGCGCGATCCGGGTGGATTGACGGTGACCGAGTCTGTCGTCGACGCAGCGGTCGACGACGAAAGAGATGACTGAGAAGATGTGCGGAGCAGCGCAGCGGCGAGACGGGGACGTGAGGCGGCGAGGGCCGGGTTCGCGCCGGCGTTCAGGTTGATGCGTGCTGCGAGCTGGTTGAGGGAGGGCATACGCGAGCTCGCCGCGGGACGTTCTGGCTTGGGGGCATCGATCTTGATAGGGGCACCTTCTACAGCGGCGGGGGTAGACATGGCGGCGAGAGGGAAGTCGTCCGCATCGTTGCGTCCCCGACACGCGCGGTACTGAGGCGCGCCACAGCCCCGCGCAATTACTCTGACGCGCAGCGGCTCCGTAAAGACTGTGTTATAAAAATCATAAACACAATTTAGCATGGGCACATGGTGTAGATGGTTATCACATCCGCTTAGCATCTGGTGCTTTGCGTAGGTTGATTTGCGGGGGGTGCTGGGTTCAATTCCCAGTGTGTCCATTTTTTGTTGATCCTAGCTTCGTACCCATCACCGTCATTTTCCCTGCTTTGCTTGACAATGCTCCGCTTGTGGATGAACGCTTGGCGGTTATGTCATCCTGTGTGACACTTCTATTCTGATTACCTAACTCTAATATTGAGTTTGCGTCCATGCTATCTTCATATGGGGTGCTACCTGGCATACGTATACTACTGCTCTCAAGTGGCCGACGTAGATCGCGACGCTCATGACACAAATCACAACTACAATGGATCTCAGGGTGATGAATGTCTGCATATTGTTTCTACTCGCGGCCACAGCCATAGCAAGGAATTGCGGGGCATCGCTACCAACGTGTGCGCTCGCGCGGGCAGATAAACAAGGTTACATCGCTCACTAACCTGGTACTTATTGTAGCTTATTGTATTACTGTAGACTACGCACATCAGTACAGCAAGCAGGTGTGTCACAAATATGGTTCCATTCTGATATACCGCAAACGAATAGGGGGTATCACGAGGATCCGGGCGGTCGACTCGCCTCGTCCCGTGTAGCAGACGGCGGCTCGTTGTCGCTTTGCAGGGCCGGCTGGCTTTCTTCAGCCGGGTTCTTGCTATCCGATGCAGGGGGAGTCACAGCAGGATTACCCTGCTCTTTCCGCTGTTTCAATTCTGGCTCTTCCCGCTGCCCAACGAATTGCTGAAGCCACTGTCGTCTTTTCCCACTCTGCGTCCGCGCCTTCTCGCGTGCACCGGAAAGCTCTTCGGGGCCAACGATACGCCAAAGGTAGTCTTCCGTATGGGAAACGAAGAAGAGGCGGTATGTTCGCACGCAGACCTTGATTTCCAGACTGCCACGCGCAACGACATCAGGCATCTCATTCGTGGAAGCTGTCGGGAGTCTCGATCTACATGTGACCATATAAACACTAAGCTCATGATTTTGTTCTGCAAATGGACTTACTTGCGCAGGAACGGTCGCTTCGAACCGGCTCGCGCAGGTACACCCTGTGTTCGTTCATCCTAGAAGTAGAGTCAACCGAGTCACGCGTCGATGACCAGCAGTACACTCACCGACACGAATGATTGGACGTATGCTTGCCATCGTCCAGTGAGGGCTTCTGAATCAACGAACCTCGAGTCGTCCTTGCCGAACAATTGCACGGTAACTGTCTTGCTCTCGGGAAGCTGAAATGAATCGATGTTGTAAACATGCAGCGCAATAGCCTCACATGATGTCTTACCCAGTCTATCCTGAAGATATTCTCATCAGGCCCAACCACCCTTTCTGTGTTCCGTCGTGCATTGATCTGGTCTTGAGTTGTGGGCGATGCCAGCTCTCGATCACGGCGGAGAAACTCAAAGAGCTCTTGGCTCTTCGCATCGCTCAAAACGTTCTGGACCTACAGAGAGGTTGATACAATAACCCGCAACAACAGCACGGCTGCTTACCTGCTTGACGATGGCTCCAACCACACGATCGACGGTGAACATCTTGTACGCGTTCTGTGAATTCGCCGATGAGTTCACGTACAGCGCATATTCTTGGGAGGCGTAGTTTTACCTGGGGGCCAAACATCCACCTTAACTGATCTTCGAAAACTACCTGCTCAAGCTCATTGTCGAAGAGCTTCTCGCACGACTCGAGCATAAGAGTGTAAAAATGGCGTGCATTCGTCGCTCGCTCGCGTAGGTTCCCAAGGTCAGTGACGACATGTTTTGGCCTTGATACAGCCTTAGGGTCTTCCGCAATCCTGGTCGCAAGGTCCCTGTAGTAGAGCAACCTAGAGTAGAGCAACTGACAACGAGCGTGAGTGAAGCATGTTCCGCGCAGATGGGACATTGCGTACCTCAAGCAGGCGGAAGAAAACGTAGAACGTGGTGTTCGTGAAGAAGCTATACCTTCGCCTTGAAGGCTTCTCATTGGCAGGACTGCTCGGTCCAGCAGCTGTAGTGCTTGACGGAGTCGGCTCTGGAGGGCGGTCCTCGCTATCGACCTGCATGGCATCTGAAGCCGCCGGTGAAGCGAACCGCGATACAGACGGAGACCCCGTGCCATGAGCGCGGGTCCGCCTGCTCGACTTGGCTTGCTCGCTCTTCAGCAGCTTCTTCCGCAGGTCGCCGCCCGAGCCAACCCCGTTCGCCTTCCGCTTGCCCATGCGTGCGATCGCTAGCGGATCTAAGTCGTCGGTCGTGCTATCCACATCCATGTCGCTCTCGCCCGACACGTGATGCGCCACAAACGCGGTGTTGAACTGCGCAGGGTCCAGGACGAAGAAGATCGGGACGAACGCCCGGAGGAACGTTTCGATCTTCTTTCGGTCCGCAGCGTTGATCTGGCCGCCAGTGCGATCCAAGAAGGAGAGTGTGAGTTTGAGGGCATCTTGGAGGACGGGAATGTCCTCAACGACGAACTCCAGCTGATGTCGCGGTCGCGTCCTCGCAAACAGCGGGTCAATGAGTGCTGCGCGCTTGGCCATCTGCTCATCTCTTGCTGCTTCGATCTGGCTCACAAAGGCCTTCGTGGTGATCGCCTTCTTGTCCGTCATTTTGAACGTGATGCCCTGGTAGTCGAGCGATTTGTGGTAGTTCCGCGCATCCACCTCGCGCCAGATCTTGTTCCACTCACGCTGCGCCCGCCGCCATTCCTCGTGCTTTACCTTCAGGCGGGAGAGGACTACTGGAATAGAAAATGCGGGAACGTCTTGCATGGCTTGGTAGACCTCGATGCCAGCCTCACGACCGTAGATTTTCTTCAATACTCGTAAATGCACACTCTTGCCTGCACCGCCAAGATTCGGCTTCAGCTTAAAGCTGTTGCGCTCCTCAGGGCTCAGCTGCGCGATCTTGTTGTGCAGAGGTTCTAGCATAACGATCGTTCGACTGATCGCCTCGATGTAGAAATCGTATTCGTGGCGCTCTTCTTCACTCCGGAGCAGAGCCTCTTCGTATATATTCTTCCGGTGAGTAGAGAAGCCTGTGTCTTCGCTCGCGAACGTCGGTTGCGATATCCACTCGTCGTTCAGGACGGACTTGCACATCTCGTCGCGGCCCGAACACGTCACGTTCACCTCCTGCAGTCATGTAAGTCTCATTTCGGCTCCACCTAGAAAGGCACTCACGTTCTGAGGGAGCTTGCGGTAGCTACCGTACCGGATATTGAGTTGATTCCGACTAGGCCTTTCCAGCGCAACCATCGGTCGTGTCCACACGTCGTCCGCGACAGCGATCCCGTCGCGCATCTCATCCCATCCGAGAATCTCCATGAACCGGTTCGTGAGCTCGCCGTCCCCAAGGAAGTTGCGCACGTCACGAACGAGTCGTGCAGAATCGATGATGTCCTGAGTAAAGAGATTGACGAGCTTCAGGAACTCGTTGTACGCCTCCCGGCTGTCCAGAGCGCGCTTGACTTGGTCGAAGAACTGCGTCTCGTCCGCGGGACTGAGTGGCTGCGGCACAGGGGGAGCGACTGCCATTGGTGGCGCAGCCTGCATCGCTGGCCCAGATTGCGAGTGATGCCCATGCGACTGAGATGCATGAGCCGGAGGCTGGCGGCGCGGAGAAGACGGGCCTGCAGCAACTCGCTGTGAGATGGCTGGCGAAGGTGCTTCGCTGCCTTGTGCGTGCGAAGGCCGCGACCTCTTCGACTGCTTCATCTTCAGTCGGTAGAAAACAATGCGCACAACTCTCGTACCTTGCTAGTAACAGTCTTCGCCGTGCTCTCTTTCTCCTTTTCCTTCTCCTTCTTGTCCTCCTTCTCCCGCTCCACCACCTTCCGCTTCCTCTTCTGCGGCGCAGACGCAGACGAGCCGGCCCCGGACGCCGATCCTTCGCCCTTTTTACGAGACTTAGACTCGCCCGCTGGCGTGCTCGCCTTCCGGCTCTCCTGCAGCTCTGCCAGCTTCGCGAGCTCGACTTCCTTCATGTGCCGGTCCGGCAAGAACTCGATGAAGTCCTTCATCAGGCTGGGGGCGTCCGAGAATAGCTTGCCCAGGCGTTGTACGACTTCGCCCTGTGCGTACCCCGCCGAGAGGAATGCCACGGCCCAATGCTCTAGCTCGCGCAATTCGGAGACGCCGCCACCCGTCTTCGGATTGAGGATCTCCAGGAATCGCCGGTACTTCTCCGGCTCGTTCGCGTATCGCGTCTTGACACGCTGGATGTATGCAAGAGCCGGCTCCAGGTTGACGTCGGGGACAGGCGAGGGTACAGGTACTCGCTCGATCTCGGGTGGAACGTCCGGACGGGTGCTGCTACCGCCGAAGGCGAACGTGCCATGAGTCGTTTGAGTCGTAATCCCCGCCGGAGTGGTTACCGTGATGGAGTTCGGGTTCTGCGCGTCTGTTGTGCAGTCGATGCGGTAACCAGCGGGAAGGAAGGTGTTGAATCCCTGAATCAGCGTAGGGTGTCCGTGGAAAAGATTCGATACGCGTTCAATGACCCCCGGTGTGTCGATACTTCGCCACGACCACAAATCAGAGTATGTGCAGTGAACCTGCGCAGCAAACTCACATCTGACTCTTAAAATCCTTCATGATGTCCAAAAAGCGGTTGTACACCTCCGGGTTGTCCTGGAACTTCAGCTTCACCGAGTCCAGGTAGGTGAGCGCGTCCGTGACATTGAGCGGACGCTCAGCAATCATACTCTGCGGCGCAGCGGCAGCATTCTCTTCAGGAAAGGAGAGGTCTACTTGAGCTTGGGGTGCGGGCAGGTCGGTTGGCTCAGCGTGTTGCTGAGATTGGGTCTCCGCCTTGTCCGGTACTAGCGAAGTAGGCTCGGAGCGAGATTCAGGAGCCGAGTTCTCTCCCGGCTGGCCATTGTCGGCCATTTTGAGGTAGGAAGAACAAGCAGCAGGGGAGTCTGTGCAGGCTAATGTAGCCGGCGAGGAGAGAGAGGAGTGCGCGACTGCCACTGGCCTAAGCTTAGGCGCCAAGAGCACTACCGCTTCGATCATTCGTTAGGCGCCCGTTCCTCTGTCTCGGCGATCCGCATGTTCAGATCTACGCCTTGACTATTAGCG